AAAAAATAAAACACAGTCACAGAATAGTGTTTTGACTTTTGACATGTATGAATTGAATGCTCTATTGTTGAATTGGCTTGCGAATTACAATTCCTTACCTCAACGCAAAATTATAATTGGCTTACGATTTTGTATAACCTTGAAAATAAGTTTAAAATTTATGCATTAATAATAATAAGGTTTAAAACATCAGGGCTGGCTCGCTCTGTTAAGTGGGTCGATGATGAGCTGTTCATCTAGAGACTTATCCAACGAGTTCTGATACATTGTCTTGTCTTCTCCTCTATGCTCTTTCGTCCTACTTTTCGGCCCAATTCCAATAATGTTTTCACATTAATCATGATATCAAAGGAAACAAGCATTATTTAATTGCCACAACACAATGCAAGCCTGGCTTCCTGAAAGGGAAATACACTTTAAAAAAAGAAGACAAAAATTAAAACTCTAAAAATGTTATCTGTAAAAAATAAGCTAACTTCATCTTTCCGTGCTTGTAAATTAAAAATATCGTTAAAAAAATAAATATCGAACGAAAGATTCAAAATGTAAGGAAATTATCATAGTATCCTAGTGAGTACAATACCTAAGTAACTTAACATATTTATTAAATACTAATTAATAATGAAGAGGGATATTCTTACTACCAAAATTTTCCACCACCAATTTACTACCTATCTAATCACCATTAGATTAACATTTTCTCTTTCTTCAAAAACTTTTTAAGATTCTCTCTCTTTGATCCAATGGTGATGTGACGAGTAGTAAGTTAGTAATGAAATTGTTTGGTAGTTAAAATATCCTTACTTATTAATAATATATAAAAGTTATATAATATAATCAGCACTTCAGTCACAATGCATAAAACGCAATTTCACTGTTATTAAAACCTGTCCGAATGGCCAAAAATCAGGTTTAACCAGTATTAACTCAATATCGATTTTATGATCGAATCAGTTTTTGAAAAATTTCATTAAGTCAAAAATATTTTGGTAAAGTATTCCACCACAATTACACTTTTAGGAGCTGTTTGGTAGAGGGATAAATTTTATATTCTTAGAAAACTCACATTGAGAATTCTATTTATCCACGTCTTATATGGGAAAATGAGATTTCTGAAAATTAAAATTGAGATAAGAATCCCATAAAATAATACCACAAAGTGAGCGGTATTCTTGAATTCCTACCTGGTGAGAAATTTTTATATAATTTATAGGACATAAATAATCATGTTTTAATATTTTCATAACTAAATACACTCTCTTGTTAAAGTTCTAGCCGTGATACTCCGATCATGGTTTTTATTTCCTCTCTGCTTCAAGCCACTTCACTCTAGTGACCCCAACGCTATGATCATCTAGTTCCGACATTATCAACAACCACGATCTCTGCTTCACGTCGCTTTTTGATTTTTTTTGTGACATATCAGAAAAAATTTCCAAAATTTATCAAAAGTTAATTTTATAAAATTAGCCCACATTTCCATGAATTATTGACAATTAACCAAAATTAGAATCAGAAAACGCGAGCTAATATTTTTACAAATATTTTAGTCTATTAAATAACTTTTTGATAAGCTTAATGAAAAATTTACTATCTCATCATATTCTACTCTATTCTTTAGGATTTAAAATTGACATAAAAGGGAAAGGGAGTGAAATAGTAAACACTAAACTAAATTACTTTGGTTCTTATATTATTTTTATGAGAAAAGTGTTTGTCATTTTAAATGATGTCATTTTAAGAGAGAGATAGATACAAAATAAATTTTTTATTTAAATTTTAAATTAAAAAAAACCACCAACTTTTTCTCTCCCATGATTTCTATTTTCGGTGTCTATCTCTCTTTTAAAATGACATAACTTATAGACAAACTATTTTTATTTATATATTTTTAGAAAAATTTAATCTAAGCGTTCAACAATGACCACCGGTTAAATCAATAACTGAACTATTTCAACAGAGTCGATGACCGGTTTGATTTAATAGCAGCGTGTAAATGTTATCATTCTCTGCCTTTACTTGTGAAGCTGCAAAGCTACGATGATGGTGACCGTGAAGACTGAAGATTGACAAGTGATCACACCTGCGCAGCGTCACTGGGTTGGGAACGGAAAAGACGAGCTTGGTCACTTCATTTTCAAAATCATTTCTGGTGGAACGCCTTGTCACTCGCCATCAACCACCCACGACCAAACATCTTTTTTCTGTTTCCTTTTCTCTTTTTCATGTTCGCCCTTGGTTCTAGAAAGGGCCAACTTTTTATTATAATTAGTTTTTTTTTTAAGTAACATCCTTAAAGCATCGGTTAACAAAATTTTAATAAAATGTATTAAATAAAAATAAAACACTTATTATGTTAAAATATTTAATAAAGAAATCCCAAAGATAGCTGATTTGGCAAGTGGATGCCTACGGGATTGCCTTGATCAAGGATTTAAATTTTTGGCTTAAGTAATTCCCTGGAATTCTTCCGGAGCCAAAGACAAACCGTTTTTCTTAAACCTTAAACCGCATCCTCGGGTGAACCCGGTCTAATACACCGTTTGATTCGAGGAAGAGCTAGTCTTAAGGTCGTACTTTGAAGATAAAATGGCCGAAGAAGATTGAGTGGAAATACGTTAAGGTTACATACTAAAAAAAAAATTAATAAAGAGTTCTAAAATATTCCATAACCAATATCATGCAAAACCCTTATTATTTTATGAAATATATGTATCTTCAGCTACAGGAAAGAGAAGTTATATGCAGCAGTCACATATTTTTTCAAGATACGAAACTGTATTATGATAATGATATGTCAGTTGGAGATAACTTCTCTACAGCAACAGAAGATTAATAGCGCCCTTATTTTATTTATGCCAAAAGTATAGTTATGTGTTTTTGCCAACACAAAACATAGCATTAATGATATTGACTTTTAGGATAGACACAGTTGGCTAAGAATTTGGTCTATATCCCACAAGGGCATGAGTTCAAATCTCACTGGCCGATATGAGGACTTTAATGGTAGATGATATGTAATTTCTTCTTAAAATCCTCGAAGAAGTTGAGGGATCTTCTCTGACCTTAGTGAGATAGTGATATCTAACTTCACTTAAACCTTCTCATTACAAAAAAAAAAAATGATATTGACTTCTTCTTCTTCTTTTGATAAATTACAGTTATATTTTATAGAAAATAATTCTGTTCTGGAAAAGTCCAAAATTAGGGCTTTTGACCCTAGTAATCTCTTTCTTACAAAATTTGATCGGAATAATTTCTTAATCAAATGTATTATCAAAATAATGCATGACGACGCGGTACTTACCTGTAGTATCGATTTATGTGTAAATCAACCCACTCATTCACACTTAAATCAGTGTCAGACAAAACCAAAAAAAGTTGAAAATTGAGTACACCAAGACGCGGCCCTGCTCCAACCGCGTTTGACGGACGTGACATTAGCAGTACCGCGTCTGTCTTAAATCTTTTACTCTCTGGACTGAATTCTTATAAAATCCCACCCATGTTGCTATGCAACCCCAAAGCTGATCCGTGTGAGAGGGAGCTTATTTTTCAATTTTTTTTTTTTTTTTTCATTTTGTCCAGAATCCTTGTGTGTGAGATTGTTTCCAACCTTTTTTCCGTTGTATCTGAGGATAAAACTCCATACTCACTTGTGCGTTCTTTTGCATGGTGTTTTTGACCTCATCTTGCAACTAACTATTATTTAAAATTTTTGTTATATAATTTGATCAAATTATAGGTTAACCCAAAAATTATCATGTTATATATTTAACTTCTTATAGGATTTATTAAAACCTTAGATTATTAGCCTTAAATTTTATTAATCATATTTTACAAAAAAAATTATGTGCTATATTTATTTTGTTAAAATTTTGGATTAGTGGATTTAAATTTTAGTAATGCTATATTTATATTATTAGTGTAGGGTTTAGGGAGTAAAATTTTATTAATTATATTATTTAAATCTTAGTTTAGTGACCAATGTTAATTCGCACAGTATTTTTACGTATTTGGTTACTTTTTTGGATTTTTAAAATGTTGCAGTAAATAAAATTGATGTTGAGAAAAGTAAATCTTTTTTAACTATTTACTAAGAATAACGGGTTTTAAAAATTTTAAATTCATACTTATATTCATATTATTGTTAAATTCATACTCTTTACTTAAATTCACTCTCAGCTAAATATTGGGAGAATTTTGAGTTGACAGCAGCATAGATGAGGTTTTATAAGAATTCATTTTGACTGGATTTAAGACAGACGCGGTACTGTTAATGTCACGTCCGTGCCAAACGCGGTTGGAGCAGGGTCGTGTCTCAGTGTACTCAATTATGGGTGATTTACGCATAAATTGGATAATTTACGCATAAATCGGCACTACATATACCGCGTCTTAACGCGGTCACTTCAGTGTCGCGTCGTCATACATTATTTTGGTAATACATTTGATTAAGAAATTATTCTGGTCAAATTTTGTAAGAAAGAGATTACTAGGATCAAAAGCCCCCAAAATTAAGACTTTAAACTCTTAGTACCGAAGAAAATCGAACGTATACTTTCACCGTCGCTTTCTCAATCTCATACGTCAAGTGAGCTAGCATGTGTCTGTTCTCTCAACACGTTTTGCTAGTAACTCATATACCCATTCATCGCAAAAAATTATCATCCACGATGTTAGTTACGAACTGCTAGTAACTCATATACCCATTCAACACGTATTGTAGGTTCTTTCATTTGACTAATTAACATCGCTTAACATGCAATTACAAAATGCAGGTCAATAAACTTACATGAAAAAGGAGCAAATTAAAAAAAGAAAACCTTTAAACTCTGGATACACAGATCGTGCCAGAGCCAACATTAACAATCAATCATACAAGCACACATGTACCATAACACAGATTCCAACCACTACCTATTTCCACATCCCAAGCCTAATACATATTATTCTATAGTTCTGAACATCCACTGATTCATTCATGTCATGACCCCGTGCTTCCATTATCTACAGTTTGTTTCCATTAGTCATGGCTGTTAGCATCACCCTTGGATTCCCAATCTTGTTTCCTCTCAATCATTTTGAGAGGCATTTCAGCTGAAGCCTTCAAATCTGTGCTTGAATTGCTGTCTTCAGATTTGTACTTGTAACGCGAGGCCCAGTAAAGATAGTTGAAAAAATTAAGGCAGCTAAGGGTGGCCAAGAACCAATAAAACAGATTGAGATTATTTTGATTTAAGTCAAATCCATGCAACCATCCTTGTTTGCCAGGAGTGATCCTTTTGGTAACAGCATTTATGACATTCACAAATACGGTGCTCAAGAAGTAACCAAGAGACATTGATAACCAAGTGAAAGAAGTTGAGAGTGATTTCATGCTTGCAGGTGATTCCCTGTAAAAAAATTCCAAGAGTCCAACAAGGGTGAACATATCTGCTATTCCAAATATACCATATTGGAAGGACAACCAAAATAGACTTATGGGCTTAGAAGGGTCTCTCTTTCCTTGGTCCCTTCTTTTTACTTCTATAATCCCAGCCACTCCCATTGATATGGCTGAGAGTACTAGTCCCACACCTACCCTTTGAAGTTGTGTAATGCCTGAAGGGTTGTGAGTGATCTTTCGTGCGAATGGCACAAAGAAGAATTCATATATGGGAACCAGGATGGTTATAAAAACAAGTGGGATAACAGGAATGGATGGAGCAGGAACTGTAAGATAACCAAGTTTCAGGTTCATCACATTCCCTTGTTGAACCGAGAATGTTTGAAGCTGTGCCATACAAGTGTTCAATATAATTGTACTGCCCACTATTGGTAACATTCTGGTTAGGATCTTGACTTCTTCAACTTGTGTCACTGTGCAAACCTTCCATGGCTGGGGTTTTGAGTTTTCTTGGAGAATAGCCGCTTTATCTAGAAACCTGATTCGACAACCAACAATAACTTTTTTAACATGCATGCATGTGTGTGAGCAAAAGAGAAAGGGAAATGTGTATCCAGAAAAAAAAAAAAAAAAAACAGAGAAGGGATATGAATGTCTCAACGTTAATCTTGTCATCAATTATTTTTCAATTATTGTAAATGGTAAGACTATGATTTTAGCAACCCAATAATTTGTAGGAGATAATTTTATCTCTTAAACATACAAAAAAGTGTGTGGACCTATGTGAGATGATGTGAATTGAAGAGAACAAAGAGAAAATAAAAAAAGATCCTACTATTTTTATAGTAACCTAAGGTAGAAGATAAAATTATTTTCTAAATAATGTGAAATCCTAATCTCATAATTAAATATAGATAAAGAAGAAAATCATTGAGCTTGGCTGAACTGATGACATTTTCTCCCAATAAAGTAGTAGCGGAGCCCAATTTATGCACCAGCCCCAAACAAAAACAAAAACAAAAACAAAAACAAAAAAACAACCATTGACTGCAGCAGGTACTGTTCTTTAAAGACCTCTGACTAGACCCTAGCTATGTCAGAATACTTTTATTTTTATCTTGTGTTTTGCAGTTTGCACACGGAATAGATATTTTTTTAGCTTCCATGATCATTCTCCGTATCTCTGCTACTCCTAAACGTGGATAGGTGTTAGTGGGCCCAGAGGCCTTGGCGCTACCTGCTACGACGTACATGAAAAAGAATCCTAACATGCCCAATTAGCTGGCCCCGATTTTTGTTTAATTGTCCTATCATTTGCAGAAAATTATTAGCCTTGATTTTGTGTATGCAGGTTGTTAACTATGAGTTTTTGAGTCACCTCATCTGGTTGGTGTGGGCAATCTTCTCTAATGTAGCATCTTTATCACTGATTTCATATAGTTCTTCATGTGACTCTGGCAGTGACAGCTTCCGGTTCTTAAAAGCCACAACAATAACCTGTATGTAACAACAACAAAAAAAACAAAACAAAATGGTTTTCTGATCATCATAGGTTGTATTGTATGTGCTTATCAAGAAGAAGGGAAGGCAAATAGAGATGCAGACCTGAGCAATCCTCAAAGTGGAGCTATCTCCAGGAGTTTTGATGCGGTAGAATGGCTTACCAAGAGCAAGTGTCACAAAACCAATAGTGGCAGCTATGGTTATTATGAAAAAGCCCCAATGCCAAGCTCTTTGGGTGCTAACCCACACAACACCTGTAACTCCTGTAATTCCTCCAAGAGTTGAACTGAGCAAAAGCCAATTGAAAAAGCTTGCAAGAGCTTTTGCTTCAATTGGATCCTTTTCATCAAATTGGTCAGCACCAAATGCAGTCATAGATCCTCTTACCCCTCCCATACCCAATGCCAACAGACTCAGTGATGTGTAAAACATGACTGCTATGCCACCTTTGACACAGCTTGACTTGCCACATGCTTCTGGATGTAAATGATTTGAAGCAGCTTGAACCGTGAGCATTGCCAAAGCCTACAAGTGTTAAATCAGATACAAACTACTAAACCTTTTTCAACTAATTGATTTCTCTATTTGTGCAAGCCATTGGGATTTGGAATATTTCATATATACTATTGTTTTACCACTTACCAGAACCTCTAGTGATCCAAAAAGCAAGCATGTGGTGAATCTGTTTAGGTAAGTATCTGAGATGAAGCCTCCAACAAGGGATAACAAGAAAGTTGAACCCATAAAGTTTGTGAGAGTATTGGCAGAACTGGACAGATCAAAATGCATCACCCCATAAAAGTATAGGACTAAGCTAACCATGTTTGCCACAAATCCCATGTTGTCCAATGCTGACAAGACTACATAAACGAGGAAGAAAAGGTGGGGAAAAGAAGAAGCTCAATATAACTTGGTAGCAAAGAACAGAACAAACAAAAGAGTTTCATCTCCTTTCCTTTCCCTTACCGAAAATAAACATGGAAGCTCTGAATCCACCTTTCCTTCTCTTCCATTCGGTGATGAGCTTGTGTTCATCTTTTTCCTCTTGTTCTGCCTGTATGACCCAGATTTGAAACTCATCAATATATATACATAAAGAGAAGATAAGGAGAGAGATAGAGGAGGGTTGAGTTGAATGACAAGGCTTACCATTATCGAGATATTGAGAGTTCTGTTTTATACAGGAATGGGGCAGTTCAGAGGAAATGGTGTTTGTGAATATATAGCCCCAAAAGGAAGCTTTTGAGAAAAGCTATAGTTCAGACAAGGATGATAAAGAGAGCAACTTGGAGCATAAAATGCGTAAGAGGGCCTAGTTTATGATTTCCATGGCCTTAAAATTCGATTGCCTCTATCTTTCAGCAATTGTCCTCCATGCTACTTATCATGCTCTCTGTCTCCTCTTTTTCAAGGTCTCTTAGCTCAACAGTTTGGCATTTTCAAATCCAAAACATAAATCAAATTCTGAATTGTATTATTGGGCAGAGCATAACATGTTGATTTGGAAGCACAAGTGGTTTAAGGTTGCTAATTATATGGATGCTTAATCAATCAATTATCTTAATCAACCCAACATCTATGCCCCACACCAACGATATATATGCTTGTCTTCGCTGAACAATCCATTGCTGGCATTGTATAAATTTCCTAAACCAGAAGCTATCAGAAAAAGTCATGGGTCAAATTGAAAGGAAAAGACTGCATACTGAAATTGGGTAGACTTTTCCTTGCTTGATACATAGCATCATTTGATTAAGTGGTCATTTCACATATCAAGTTCATCAACTGTTTGTTAACTTTAAAGCTGTATCATACATACATCACGTGGTTTCCTAATCATGTTGCTCTTTGATTATGTCATAAGAATATCCTTGATAGGCCCTAACGAAGATTTTTAATAATTTTGAAGAAGTTGAGTGAGTGAAATCAGAAATGTGAACTCTTGTTATTGCTAGTTAAAGTTACTAGCAACTTAGTCTCAAAGGTTGGATTATTAATTCACATGATACATAAGAAAGGACTAAGTTTGAAACTTGTCCTTTTGGTTAGACAGCTTTGTCAGAGGGAAAATGATCTTATATTTTCCTTGCTACTGGGAAAAAAAAAAAAAAAAAAAAAAACCACATGTAGCCCAAAAATTTCCATGCGCACGAAGGCAACACATAAAGTTACCCATTTCGCCAAAGGTGAGTCCTTACATCCCCCAGGGCTGTAAAAAAATATTGGATAAAAAACTGAAATCCTAGGTCAAATAACCAAAGTTCAAATTATGGGTCACATGGTACAGCTCATATGGTTGTCCTCCATGTCCTTTAGAGCTCCATTGTTTGATAAAAGTCCATGAATGTCACTTTCCCCCTCCTATCATGCATATCACAGAAATTCAGAGTTTTTGCCTTTTGCTTTTAACTTGTGATCTCATTCTACTGATAAAGTCCATTTTATATTTGAACTGGCTCTTTCAATTTGCAGTCTAACTTCTAGTGTCTCAATCATGCTAAATCTTTTTTGTTTGAAAATCACTATCGACTGAAAACACTATCTTGAGTGTTCCATCCAAGCAAATATGTGTTGGTATTGGTATCATCCCTTCCCCAAGGACCTTTCACCTTTCATGTGAATCACTTTTGAAGCATCGGCAGTAAATGAGCATATCAATATCTGTATTCAATTTACAGTATGTCAAAAAGAGAATGCACAGGATAATAATCCAAATCATTTTCATTACATTAGAGGGACATATCAAAACACCTGATGCAATAAATGTCCTACTTTAGAGATGAAGAATACAAGCTATATTTATACAACTAAAAATAATCAGGAATAATTCCAAGTTTAAACTTCAGAGTTCGGAATGGAGCAAGTGTCAAAAAAATAATAGTAATAATTATTTATTTTAATTGCTTACCTCGATGAAACAAGGGAATTACTCATTAATCATCAATAGCGGCTATGACAGAAGAAACAAAAAATTTTATTGCCCTGTTGGGTACTCATCAATAACTGCTTCTAACAGAGGTTATTAATTGCTCATGAAAATTTTGTTACTTATCAATTTGAGTCTATATCATGCATGACTTTTGTTGTGGGGGTGGATTCCTCTTAACAACTAGACTTTCATAGAGGCTAACGATGATGGTTCTCTATCTTTAATTCATAGACATAATGTTACTGTCTTTAATTCATAGATGTTGTTTTTCATAAAGCTTGATTTATTAACCCCACCTTCCATGCCATATGCTTTTTCACTAACACCCATTCTTATCACTTTGCCCACAAATATGTTCATGCTTTTCCAAAGTGCTTGAGTGATTGAGTTCTCTCAAATATCTTCTGGGCTTCTTGTTGTGTCCCTCTACTTTATTTTAAACAACCATTCTTATCAGTTATCCCTTTCCCCATAAACATACACCGTGTAACAGTTGTTTTCAACCTTAGCAGTTCTATTATTGTTATTTCTTGTTCGTTGGATCTTTTAGGGTGTAGAGACCTCAGTTGGAAGCATACTTTTTGGGGCTATCTTGTTTTTGTAATTGGCATAAAATATGTACGTGCTGCATAGTGCCTTAGTCTAAAATATGATTATATTATAACTGCACAATTATTTATTATTTATTATTTATTACCAAGCCAAGTTCGGATGGATTGTGATGGACTAGGCCAAATTTAACTTTGACCAATTATTTTTAGCTCAACTCAACCAAACAAGCAACGGATTGGACACTGCTTGAGAACTCTACTTATGGACATATGGAGATGTTTGATTGTGTTTTAATTTTTTTTATAAAAATTATTCTGTTGAGTAAAAGAATTTGTTTGATGACATTGTTTTGAAAATAGTTTTAAAAATTAATGAACAATAAAATCTGTTTTGTTAAATTTGTTCTTAAAATGTAATTTTAAAACAAAAAAACAAAACTTGTTTGCATAACTATAATTTGTTAATTGCTATGACTCCATTGTTATCCATTTCTATCTCGATAAACAACACCAAAGCATCCCTTCCCAATTAGATTTCACAATGCATCAATACGTTATTTAAATGTAACAAGAACTGTACCGTGTACATGTTCATATAATCAAGAAACAAGGCAACCACACTTTAACGTAAGCGTAACTCAATGATCCAGAATATGAGGGTTTGGCGGCACCCATCATTCACAGTGCTATGTGATTAACGGCTAATGGGCCACTTGAAATTTAATATCCATACGGAAGATTGATTGTGGGCAAGTCGGAAGAAATTAAAGGCCCACGATAATGGATTTCTATATATCAGCAATTAGCACTGACAAATCTACTTATAAATTAACGTATCAATTTTCTTAAATGTTAAGAGTTCACATTAACACTCTGTATTCATATTTCATCGTGACTGACAGTTGTGACTAAACTACTCTCCTTCAAAGTTGGTTGGCGTGGCCGAATGATTTATTTTTACATCAGTAATCCCTTTATCCCAAACTACTTGAGGTCTACTGATTTATTCCTACATCTTATCAGAAACACTATTTGAACTTGTTTTGTAGTTGCGAGTTGTTCCTTCAAACTACATTTCGCAAGGTGTGGCTTCCCAGTCATACGAACAATATTATCCATCAGATGATTAATATCAACAATATCTCCATAAGTTCATATGAAAATGAGAGACATCACATTATATTATAGAAAATAAAGGCCCCTAAAATCTAAATACATCAAAGTAACTACGCCTTGAAGCTGCAAATGTAAGCGATGGAAGAAAAAGTAAACTGCATACATTGGAATAACAATGAGACGAAATAAGATAAATATGCCAAAGATAATGTACTAACTCCAGCTATCATTTACTAAATTGAAACACAACTAATTATAGTATGTGAAACAATCAAACCTTGCTGAAATCATCATCAAAACGAAGACTAATTCTGCACTGGCATGACATTTCAGATAAGCATATGATTGATCACTAAAATAGCATTTGTTTATTTTGAAGAAGCAAGACATTGATTATTTTCTCAAAGCATAGGTAAACTCGATCCACCACCAAACATCATCAATCTCATATTGCATCTATAATGTAAGTTATTGATGAACAAAATGGTCAAAAGGAATGGAGAACATTACTTTCCCTAATTCTCTTCTTATCTGTTTTTGTTGGTTGTGTTTCCATGTTTCCACAACAGTCACCGGGGAGTGACAGTAGACTCTCTGTATAGAAAGCTGGCTTGCGCCAAATCATATGATCAGATATTTCCAGCAATTCTCCTTTGTCATTAAATTTCATCAATCCAGTACCATTAAATGCAACAAGTTCACCACCTTTGGCGAAGCAAAGGGGGGAGAGTCTCCGTGCAGGAATCTCAAACATAGTCCAAGATGACTGCACTTTATATTCTTTCATCAACCACACCTGAGTTTTATGTACACTCCGATACCATACACTGAGACATCCACCCATGATTATCAAATCTCCAACCAAAATGTTCTTGAAATCACCAGCGGGAATAGATATCTCTGATAGTTGTTTTTCAATCAAATCAAAGACAATAATTGCTCGATCAATTCCATGACGAGGGAAAACCAACCAATGAATAGCCCCATTAAAGAACAATCCATGATAACTGTAGAAATACATACGGGGAATATGGGAAACCTGGATTTTTTTTCCATAAATTGGTTCTCAAAGAGAAAAGCACCATGTGGGTTTCCTCCTCCTCAAGCCATAAAACAACTACCAAGTAATCATCAGTGGATGAGTCATACCCAAAACCAATTAGAAGCGTACGATTATGGGAACGACGTAACTTTCGTATAAAATCAGAGAATGATAGGTGTCGTCTGTGAAAACCATTTGATGGATTCCATATATAGAGATTTGAGTCTCTCCCAATGAAAAGAACAAACCCTCTGCAGGAACCCAAAACCTGAAAACCATAAGGAAACATAGCAGACTCTGGAAGCGGATGAACGAGTCTCACAAAAGCAGAATCATCGTGAAACGACGCGTCCACATCGTTGGAATGAGCTTCGGAACCATAACGTGTTTTGAAGAGAAGTCTATGGGAGGGAGCAGCAGATAGTTCAAAATGCGAATTTGCAAAAGAGGGATCAGAGATGAGAGAAAGCCATGACTTACATACACATTTGAATCGAACAAGAGATTTCACAGGTGACCTCAACAGGATTTCCTGCACCAACTCATCAGGGAGAGGGATGTTAATGTTAATCTCCATGCTTCCCCTTCTTTTCCTGTTTTTAGGGTTCCGTATGTTGTATGGTATGGTATTGAATTTTTCCTAAAATAAAATTAATTATATTTTAAGATTTTCTGCAGATTTTGCGAGACAAAATTGCAGCTTCCAAAATTTATTAAATAAATTTATTAATATGCTATTTTAAAAATTCCATATCTAAATTTGCCAAAGAAGATTGAATTCAAAGAATTAATCCATCAACCCAACCTAACTCACCTTGTATCGTAGATGTGTTCATTAATCGATCCAAACTGTGATAACTGAACCAAACAATTGATAACTGAATAAACTGAAAAATTGAAAAAAAAAAATCGCAAATTTTAATTGAATTAGATCGGTTTTCGAATTGATTGATGAAATATCCAATCCAAACCGATCCAATATATTAATTTTCCTCTACCTACTTAGGTCTTCCATCAATCATAGCTCAAAAATTTCTAAACCCAAGATCCATTAACTCATCAACTAAACTAAAAAAAAACCTAGTCACGTCTCATCAACAAAATTTCATCTGTATAGAGCTTCATATCTTATTGCCCAAAAAAAAATTTATATTATCATTTTCTGATACTTTTGTATTTCAATTTTTTTTTACAAAGTCAATATATACAAAAGATGTTATGTTATTTGTATAATAATCAGAAAACAAATTTTAGGATTTTAAAAAAAATAAAAAATCAATCATGTTATGGACCTAGGAAAGGCCCATGCCAGCAAGAAACTCAACCAACACAAGCCCAAAAGTAAATTCTATAAATAGGAGCTAAAGACCACAGGTATGATGATCTCTCTAACCCTATTTCATTCAAACACGACAGTGCACACACACACCCCTTCTGGCTCAGGCCATCATATAGTGTGTAGTGATTTGGTGTCCCCAAGATACCTAATTCATAGGTATCTAGAGAAAAAGCTACAGATCCAATATCAAACATCCGACCTACGGTCGGATACATCTGCACAAGGCAGAACAGATCTAATTCAAACCGAAAAAAATTGAATTGAATTGGATCAGATTTAAAAAAAAATTCAAACTGAAAAGATATGATCCAACTGAAGGGATTAGATCAGATGATTTTTGCTTCCAAAACCGATCCAATCAAGATTAATAACACCCCTATTGTATTGTATATATAACGAGGTTAAATCGAGTTAGGGTTGAGTATGTCAATTCCTATATTATCAGTTTTACTTTTATTTTATTTTTAAATATTAAATGTTAGATTATAATTTTGTTTATTTGTGTTACTAGTTATTATTATAATATTTTTATTCTATTGGGGAGTGTAACGCCCCTCGTGTGCAATTTTATTTCAATTAAAGGGGTTGTTGGATAGTTTTCCAAAAGTTAGGGGCAACTTTTGAATTTCCGAAAGGCTAGGTGCTGAAATGCAAATTTCTTTTTAAAATATAGAGTGAGGGTTAAAATCCTATGGGGCTGAAGTGTACCCTAGTTATTTTGGATCAAAATTTCCAGCCACACGATCAGAGTGCATGTATAGGTTGCAATATCCATATCACAAGGTGGGTTTCATGAAATTCTTCTAAAACTTTCACCAACTCTCTGCCCAAAAATCAGAATAATCATGGTGGGGGACACTCCCATTTCTTAAGCGCTAGCTGCACCTGTGAATGTTTTACAAGATAGGCTAAAAGGGAGAAGCAACTAAAGGGGAGGTGCGGATCAAGAAAAAGAATTAAGGGACGGTGACGGTCCTAAACAAAGTGGGAAGGAGAGGTATACCCAACTTCTTTGGTTCTTTGCCCCGTTTTGTTTCGGGCAAAGGCAATTTTATTACATAAGTGGAATGTTATGTGAGAGAGGTTTTGTACTGGCTGTCAAGTTGTCATGATTGAATGTCTTGAAATGCCTCATTTATAAATTAAGGAAAAAATGTGTGCCATTTTAAATAATGTAAAGTTGTGTCATTTTAATAGAGAGAAAGAAATAGATAAAGGAAGAGAGAAAGTTGACAAAAAAAATAAAGGTGTGAGTCCCACCTCTTTGTGAGAGTGAAAGAATATAAGTTGTGTCATTTAAATGGATAAACACTTTTTCAATAAATTAAACTCTTAGAATGTGTGAGATGCTTTATGCTTCAAGAAAGGTAGGACTTTCATAAACCCATATAATAGAATGTGTTATGTCACTAACGGAAATTTATACGATGGCATATACTATGTTAAGTGGACAACCTAAATGTTTTAAAATTATTTATATGTGAAAAATCCATGATTCCATATATCAATATGTGAGATGGGTCTTGTGATGAGGATGTATCACTATGTATCATGTGAATATGTACATGGGTGTGGCCTTTGTGTACTCCTTTGATGGGTGAATGCCAATGTCTATGTTCCATGGTTACAAATATTGATGAATGCTTAAATTCAATGGAATTACAACTTTGAAACTTACTTATACGTGGGAATGTAAACGCTTCCTTCTTAGCTCTTATTCCTATTATGCTTCGGATAAGGCCAAAGTGGCCTTAATTAATTCTCTCTTTCTATTTTCTAAGATGAAGTAATTGGGAAAAATATTATTTGCTTGTCTTCCGTTTCTTTTATTCTGAGTCACAGGCCATGAAAAAGGCCGCCTTACATTGAATATGTAAGTGCTACAAATTATTAGAACGAATAATTGTTAAGAGACTTAGAATAAATGCGTGTTTTTCTGTTTTGTGCATGTGTGTATGTATGTTGAGATATGAATATATGTGATGAGTAATTTGATGCTGTTACGAGATATTCTCTTGGTTGGTTATAGTTGCAAATTAAATTAATACTATATGTAATGTGATACAAAATATGAGATTCCAACTTTGAGAAAGAGATGAATGTGTTATGTGGCCGTCCTTGTATCTCTTGTGATATTTTAATGAAGCTATGATCTCATAAATTTATGATATGGAAGATATGCTGTCAACTATATAATTCTATGACGTATCATGAATGTGAAAACAGTACTAGTAATACCAATGTGACCATGTCTTGAAATACATTGATTATCACTACAACAAAAGAGGTATACGAAGGTGGTTCATAAGTCATTTCACGACGGTTTGAACCGCCTCCAAATGCAAATTTCGGCCGTTAACCAACCGTCGTAGTTACTATCGTCGAGAGGCAATTCAACGACGGTTTGACTAAACTGTTGGAATAACCGTCGAAACAGAATTCAACGACGGTTGCAGAGGCGGTTATCATCGCCTGAAAATATCCTCAAAAAAATCGATGAATATTCAAAAGCGGTTTCCTAACCGTCGTGGAATTCCACATGACGTCATTTATTTAACCATCGCGGAATAAGTATTTTAAGGCGGTTGTATAAAAGTCGTTGAATAAGAATTCAAAGGCGGTTGACAACCGTCGTGGAATTCCACATGACGTCATTTATTTAACCGTCGCGGAATAAGTATTCTAAGGCGGTTGTATAAGAGTCGTTGAATAAGAATTCCAAGGCAGTTTATAAAGCGTTGTGGATTAATAAATCTTAGGCAATTTTTGTAACCGTCGCAGAATAAGATATCGAAGACGGTTATCTAAGGGTCGTGAAATAAGAATTTAAAGGCGGTTTAATTATGTCGTTGAATTATACAAATTTTTATTATAATTAAATAATATGTAATTTTTTAAGAATTTTATAAAAAATTAATGCAATATTCTCTGTTGTCAAAATAAATATAATAATTTTTTTAAAAAAAATTAAACATTAAACCTAAACATTTATTTTTTGAACACAGTTATATATATATATATATATATTTAATTATTACGAATGGAAAATTGGAGAAAGATTGAAGTTTTAATTTTTTTTAATTCAATATAACTTTGTAAATAAATTAAAAATTATGCTTTTCATCCATAATTAAAGTTAGAATCAGTAGACTTTTCTAAACACATGCACCAAATTCTAATAGTTATAAAATTGACACCAAATTCTAATAATTTTAAACCTAAATATAACTGAGAAGTGTAATTGTCAATATTGTCATAACATTAATTCTCCCTGGCAAATAGACACCAAAATATAAAAGTTAACTAACAAAAAGTCATTACAAAAAGCCATCACCAAAATGTCATGGGGTTATTGTTCTGAGAAACATAAAAAAGAGGACTATGGAGGAGATGGGTGTCCTTGATTATGAGGTTCAGGTGAATTTGGTCCTTATGCATTTGGTACATGGCTAGCAGAAGAAGAAGGCATGAGTCCGTTAGGAGAGCCCAAATCTTGAGGCTGCATCAAAAATTTAATAAAAAAACTAAATGTCAAATGCATAACATCAAATAAAAAATTAAAAAATAGGTGAAAACATCACCAGTAACAATTTTAAAGCAATTAAAAACATAAGACAAGTATGAAGGAAATAAAAGGAAATTTCATCATAATATGCATTAAGACTTCTAATCAAGCATTAAGTTTCTAAGTTAGTTTGTTGAGAAGGCCACATGGGGATATGGTAGCTAGCTTTCCAAAATACAAAAGAAAAGGGATGGAAAATGCCATAAATGTTAGAAAAGGTTCACAAGAAGAACTACCAGATATGTATGAAAATGTATTCACCATGATTTATGACAGAAGTGGAGGCTGTTTTTGCCTCTTTGCATGTAAGATTGTTCCCTAGATCAACTAGCTAGTGTTAATGGCATAAAGGTGTTTCTATCATTGGAGCATTGTGTCAATGATAAACCTCAGTGACATGTCATGATTTCAAATCAACTGAAAAAGTATTTAAGTGCTCTTGCTTAGCAAGGACAGATATAAAAAGAAAAGAATAATGTTATTATAGGTAAACTGAGAGCAAAGTAATGTCATACGTATTAATTGAGTGCCCTTGCTGAGCACACACTTTTTTCTATTTATTATTGCTTAAAAGTTTCTATTAAAAAAATCATTTTTGTTTACTTGAGATGAAGATGTGTCCTAAACTTTCTGGAATTTACCACGAAAAATCCAGAGGGAACTCAGCTAATTTAGAAAGACCCATATATC